TAGAAAGCCTCCAGTTTATCCTTTTCCTTCTGGAACTTTAAACATAAACTAAAACCCTTCTTTGATTATTTCTCATATTGCATATTTACTAATATAAAACAGTATAGAGCACATATAATTAATATAAATTAAATGATGCTTACCTATTTATTTATAGCAACTGACGCTCTTTGTTACCTCGGGCTAATCTATGACCTGTTTTCTTCTGAAACTGTTTCTTATCTTTATCACAACCAAAGTGGTCTAGCTAACTCCTGCTGTCATTTAGGTATCAACTTCTTCCAGAAGCCCTGACAACCTAGTGGGTTGCGTGTTGGGCTGCTAACCATAAAGTCAGTGGTTTGAATCTACCCACTGCTCTGTAGGAGAACGATGTGACCTTTTTACTCCTGCAAACAGTTACAATCTTATACACCCACAAGGGCAGTTCTATCCTGTTCTACAGAGATCACTATGAGTGGGAATCAATACAATGTCAGTGAGCTTGATTATTTATTCATCCATTTATTTATTTATGTTATTGAGTTGTCTTTTATTTAAGAGGCCTTCTTAGATTGTTGTCACATCAGCTCAGTTGAACCTACTCACTTTTAATTCCATTCAGCCCCTACCTACCCTTACCCTCAACAAACAGGGACAGGTGTTCAAGTTACTCATTCACACAGGAACTTACACGTGTCCTCTAATAGCATTTTTAAAAGTTTTCTTATCAATGCCCATTTACTAGTCTAAATTCTGTCTCGAGGACAAAAAGCTAACCAGAGCACCCACCTTCTTTCCACAACTCCAGGACCTAGTAGAGTGCTGCCTTCGCTGGGTCACACTGCGGCTACTACTAAAATACAGGAACTGGAGACGGATTTTCTCACAGCTTGCTCTTGTTGTTCGGTGCCACGGAGCCAAGTCTGAGGACAAAACGAGAAACTGCCTGGCCCTGTGACATCTTCATGACTGGTCTTATGTTTGTGCCCATTATGCAGTCAAGGTCTCAACTGACTTTACCGAGGGTCCTCCTCTGCTTCACTGCCACTCCACTTGACCAAGCACGATGTCTTTCTCCAGGGACTGGTCTCTCCAAAGCACGCGAGATGAAGTCTCGCCGTCCTTGCCTTTAAGGAGCATTCTGAATGTACTTCTGAGACAGATTTGTTTGTTCTTTTTGGCATTCCAAGATACTTTCAATGTCCCTTGCCAGCACCATAATTCAAATGCAGGCCTTCTTCTTTTTCAGTCCATGTTCAACTTTCACTTGCGTGTGATGCACCTGAAAAGATCATAGCTTGGGTCCTCAAAGTAGCACCCTTGCTTTTCAACATTTTAAAGAGTTCCTTGGGCAGCAGATTTGCCCAATGTAATGAGCTGTTTGATCTCTTGACCTCTGTTCCCATAAGCATTGAGTGTGGATCCAAGCAAGATGAAATCCTTGATTTCAATCTTCACTCTGTTTATCTGGCTGCAATGCGTTAGGTTGCTAAGCACAGGAGAAAGATGAGACTTTCTAGTCCCTTAAAAAAGTCATAGCCTTGGAATTCCAGAGACAGTTTCATCCTGTCCTATAGGGTCACTATGGGTCAATGGCAGTGAGTTTTTCCTCAAAGGAAAGCTGTGGCGCTGGGGGAAGGATTTCTTTTGTGGGCTCTGGAGCAAAGTCTCTGTCTCTTTGAGCTTTTGTCCCTAGGTTATCTCTGAGTGCTGTAGAGTCTCTCTTCCTCCATTTGTTTCCTGGCTAGTTTATTTTATTCTCTTGTATGTCTCTACACTAACCTGATTGTTAACATAACAAAGAATGTCCATTCCTCAGTGGGACTTTAATCACAGACACAGAGATTAGGATTTACAGCACAAATTTTGGGGAGGCACAATTCAATCTAAACAAGTACCTTACATGAAATTTGTACTCAAAATACTGGCTCTGTGAGTAAGTGAAGCACTTCTTATTTACAGGAGATTGAGGAGGGTTTAAAAAGAAATAAAGCACCCCCTTACCCTTAAGGAGGACACCATTAAATGCAGAATAGCTGTTATACATAATTATAAGATGATAATGAGTAAATAAAATTGACTCCAATTTGGATACAGGGGGATTTGCTAACATTGTAAATTGGAATTAAATATTTAGCTCTCTCTTCTGGGATAATCTAATCCACACTAAACACTTCTGGAAGACAGTTTTATGATTTTATATTACAGATGAGACAATAGGCGCAGCAAAGTGAATTGAGTTGCCCAAGGTTACCCAGTGAATCAGAGGCAGAGCCAGGATTGAAAAACTCAAAATTGTCAACCTCCAATCCATAGTGCTGTTACTGTAATTATTATTATTTGCAGATGACTTTGTCTTTTCCCCAACTTACAACCATATTTTTAACAATCTTCTCTAAATGATTACTTCTCTAAATGTTTATATTTGAATACAACCCAGGTACTTTTTCATGAATTCCTCTCTAGTCTTTGTATTTAAAGGTTTCTTGTAATGCTCTTCGGCACCAGGCACTCTGCTTGTTACTTAATTCATCACAAGCTCCTGTACTCTGAGAAGTGTCTGCTTCACCTTTGTTCTGAATAGAATGCTAGGATCAGACACAAATTGCTGCTACACAGGGCCACATGTAGCTCCACTGCTGTTGAACATCATATTGGACACTCTCCATCTATAAATGTCCAGAGCTTGTTGGCTGGCATAGTCAATTGCACTGGATGGACATTTTGGTAGAAAATGCTGTCAGTACTTAATAGGCATTTAGAAGCAACATAGGCTATTACAAACATTTAATGGGGCTAGGGATTTCAACATCTGAATTGTGAAAAAAATGAACTAAGAAAGGTCTGAGGTTCAGTTAAACAGGCCAGAGAGATACTTAATAAATTTACATGTGGTGTCCTGGGGCCAATGACAAACACAAAACATAAACAATATGCCTCAAAAAAGTCTTTATTATTTTCTTGATTTACCAATTTAATGGCCAGAGTTTTACTTTGAGCATATGTATTGCATTTATTAATTATTGGAAGAGACCGAAACAACCAAGGCTCTTTATTTGTATACCTTCCTATGCTTTTAGGTGTTATAAGATTTAATCTCCACAAAATTGTGGCTAACAAGTCCCAGTTTTATTAGTTATATAAAACTATATGCTGTCGCTAATTTCCCCCCTTTAATGGACACATTATCAAATTCACCAATCATAGAACATCCCTCTTACTCTGTGAGGTTTCCTGGATTCTCAGTTCATCTGCGACCTCATTGCCAGAAGCAAATGTTACCACTATGGCCCATAAGCTGGCTCATTACATTACTTACCAGTCCTGTCTTGCAGCTCCAAGCCTACAAAGTCCTCTCAATGTCCAGAGTGTTTACTGTTCTTAATCCCCAAAGGGCATTAAGTGAATTGGTGCTGTCATGTAAGTATAACTGATTATGCTTCCCCTAACAAAGATAGACACTAGAGTTACCCATTGGTAAGACAGCTGCTCAATGTAAAAGGAAGAGAGAACTTCTGTCAGATGCCAGCTTAGCATCAAGTGCTTATACCATGTGCGTTGTTTGTACTAGTATACAGTTTTTAGCTCGATGTCTTAATATCCATTGCAATGGCCAAACCAAGCTCACAGACAATACTCATGATTGAAGGGGTTATTAAGGAAGTTGACCGGTTGTAAAAAAAAAAAAAGTGGGAAATGCTCAGGATATATATATCTTGTTTATCAAGACATGCTACAGAGTTCTTTCAGGTCTCCTAAGAAATGTCCAAAGGTGCATACTACTATGCTGTAAACCTCAATCCAAAGGCACTCAGCTCTACTTCTATGGGTGAGCATAGAAGCCAGCATAGCCCAGCTTCCCCAATGAGGTACCCAGAGGCAGCCCACTCCGCAAGCCAGCCCCTGCCCCAAAGCACTCAGCTGGGCTTGCTCCCTGGAGGGGGAGTCGAACTCTGCAGCTTATTCTGGGTCCTGGTCCTGCGGTTGCTGCTCCTCGGATGAATCCAGGAGGTTCACTGAGCAGAGATCTTGGGTCCAGAGGACACCCTCCACTTCTGTCTTTTCCTGGTCATGAGAGTCCCTCCTCTGGCTTCTCAGAGGGCTCCATTTATGCCCCGCAGGATGGCATTCCAGGGACTCTAATTCACAATTACTCACAGGTGAATCCTCTTGGCATCTCCCCCCACCTTTTCACCAAGCCCACACAGGAAACAGTCATTTGGTGGGAATTTGAGATTTGGGCTAGAAAAGGCACAGTGTATCATTCACTGCCCTGACACCATGGGAATGTCAATCAGAATTCTAGTGGAATCTGTCAAACACAATTCCCCAGTTCACGAAATGTGCATAAACCCACGGCGAACTGAGAAGGGACTCAGGCAAGTCTTACACTCCATGCTTTCGCTCATGTTCTTGGTCGACCACTGGGAGGCAACACCCATGGTATTCAGCGGTCCCCACCTTCCTCAGGCCGCCACCGTTTCATACAGTTCCTCAGGTTGCAGGGACCCCCCCAACCATAAAATTATTTTTGTTGGTACTTCATCACTGCCATTTTGCTACTGTGATGAATCGGGGACCCCTGTGAAAGGGCTGTTCGAACCCCCAAAGGAGTCACGACCCACAGGTTGAAAACCGCTGTATTACAATAATGTTGCTTTTCATTTAAACATGCAAATTCCACGAATTACCCTCATCTATCACTCCAGTTGTGAGGGGGAAATGATTTTTAGGGGATGTTGCTCTCATTTCCCAACAGTGGAGTTCCTCTTCAGCTACATACCAAGGCTCCTTTCAAAAGTACTCTAGAGGCTGGCGAGGCTTCCTGCTTCAGGGGGAGTGGAAGTGCTCTCAAAGACAGAAAATCCCAACGTGAGCTTTTAGGTTCAGCAACTTTAAGTCCCACTCCACTTGTCTTTGTGGTTTGAGCAGGACAGTAATAAAATACAAGATAACAAAGTGGAAACACAAATGTGTTCATCCTGAAGATACTTGTGCTAATCAAGAATGTACTTTACCTGCAGGGACTCCATTTCTTCATCTTTTCTGTGGTTCTCATCCAGCAGATCTACAAGAAAGTTAAATAGCTAAGTCAAGACCATGTAAAACATGGTTGCCTCTTCTTATCCAACACAAATCAATCAGCAGCTTGGAGCCGCCGTTGCCTGGGAAAGAACAGTTGACGTGGACGTGAAAGCGCCTCCTCCCCAGGGGTCAATTTGGACGCACAGCACGCGACCGCCAGGCAGGGTTTCTGAGATTACGGCTCTTCACGGAAGCAGATGGCTTCACCTCCTTCCACGACATGCACAGCTCGATGCTTGCACAAATGTACTGTACCCAACAGCATCTTGGGGCTTCCAATAGTGGTCGCAGGGCTCCCTGGAGTGTCAGAAGCTATGCAAAATAAATGACTGCTGATTCGCAAATGATGAGATGTGTGGCAGAGCTCTAGACCTTAACAATCCAAGGTAGCTCAGGTGCCTGGGAGGGTCCAGTTTTCCTTTGAGACCAGGAACCTGACGACAAATCCCAAATCAAGCCAATGTGTTAGAAATCCCATGCAGTTTTTATGTATCTTATAATTAACAAAAAATGTTTCCTTTACAAATTCTGAAAGAAAAAAATTAAGAGACAAATTACTTGCTGTTAAAATTAAGTTCTCCAAGACTAGCTCAAGCCTGAAAGACAATTTTTATAACTAAATCAAAACACCCTGGAATAAGAGGTGCTATTAATGGAAGGAGAACAGGACCTTAAATATATAGTCATACTAATTACACTTTCACATTGAAATTGTGGGAGTCATCTGACCCAGAATTTGGCACCATCTCAGAGGACTTAGTGGCTGGAAGGGAAGGTAGTCAGCTGCAAAGAGTTCTGTATTAATGCATATGCATACTGCCGAGGTGTCTCAGTGTCCTGCATGAATTCATAAACTAACTATAAAGCAAAATAGATTTGGCAAGCAGAATTTTCTGCCTACAGCTATACCACCCTGCACTGTAAGTTTATTGGATCCCACAAACCTCAAAGAGGCCTGGGCTGAGTCAGAACTTGGGTGAAAATGGGCAAGAACACCCAGAGCAGCACAGGTAATGTTAGTACTTACTTTACTTTGTGATGAATACAGCTTACTAAAGTGTTGTTCTGCTACAGAAAAAAAATGTACATTATAGGAATTCAATATATATCCCAGAAACGCAAATGCAAATGCTTTTTAGGAAGTGCTCCACTGGATACAGCAGGAAGCAGTAACCCAGTGAGTGGTCATGCCATGTTGGCGTAGGTCATAACTGGCAGGCAACATACAGAAACTTTGCTATTGTGTTGTTAGGTGCCATGGGGTCGGTTCTGTCTCATAGCGTCCCTACAAGGAAACACTACCCCATCTTGCACCATCTTCACAATTGTTCCTATGTTTGAGGCCATTGTTGTCAGCACTCTGCAAATTCCTCTTGTTGCGGGCCTTCCTGCTTTTCCACTGCCCCTCTATTTCACCAAGCACAATATCCTTCTTCAGGGACTAGTCTCTCCTGACATGTCCAAAGTACCCGAGAAGGAGTCTCAGCATCCTTTTCTCTTCTTCCAGGATGTGTTTGTTCTTTTGGCTGTCCATGGTATTTTCAACATTCATTATCAGCACCTTCATTCAAATGCATCAACTCTTTTTTGTATTAGACATAAACTTTAGTTATCTTTTTTAAACGTTACTTCTTATATTGTCCAATGCGTTTCTATTATGGAAAGGGTATACAATATCATCCAAGAGAGTAAAATGCACACCAACTTTGATGGAGAGTAAATGATTAGCATCGGGGCAACAAGTTCTTGATGAAAGGGAAAATTCCTTCAGTCTTCCAATTATAGATTTTAATTACTATAAGGAAACATTTGCCACTGGTCTCATGTTGTTGCTTGTCTCTAAATTAAATATCATTGTTTTTGCTTACATTACTTTTGTGCTTATGCGTGTGTCTATATAGTCTCAGATGCTGGAGAAACTGAGAAAACACAGAGGCAACTATTCAAAGAACTGATTTTGAAATAACAAGCTGGAGTGGAAACTCTGGGTTTTTTATGATTAATTGCCTCCTCTGGTCCAAAGAACATGTCCCACTAAAGCCCCAGCTGCTGCTTCTTTTTTATCATTTTATTAGGGGCTCTTACACATTTTATAACAATCCATCATTCAGTGGTATTAAGCACACGTGTACATATATTGCCTTCCTCCAATCCTGATGCCACATTTTTCATATAATCCAGCACTCTGATGATATGCTCAGCATACAGATTGAATAGGTATGGTGAAAGGATACAACCCTGATGCACACCTTTCCTGATTTTAAACCATGCAGTATTTCCTTGTTCTGGTTTCACAACTGCTTCTTGATCCATGTACAAGGTTCTCATAAGTACAATGAAATGTTCTGGAATTCCCATTCCTGTCAAGGTTATCCATAACTTGTTATGATCCACCCATTAAATGCTTTGGCACGGTCAATAAATCACAAATAATCATTTTCTGGTATTCTCTACTTTCAGCTAAGAGCCATCTGACATCAGCAATGATATCCTTTTTCCAAGTTCTCTTCTAAATCCAGCCTAAACCTCTGGTAGCTCCCTGTCAATGTACTGCTGCAACTGTTGTTGGATGATCTTCAGCAAAAATTTACTTGATTGTTACATCACTGCTATTGTTCTATAACTTTAGCATTCTGTGAGGTATAAATATGAATCCTTTCCAGTCAGTCGGCCAAGCAGCTGTCTTCAAATCTCCTGGCAAATGAGTGTTTCCAGTGCTTCATCAGTTTGTTGAACCACTAAAACTGGTGTGACATCAATTTCTGGAGCCTGGTTTTTGGTTAATGCTTTTAGTGCAGCTTGAACTTCTTCTTTCAGCACCATTGGTTCTTGCTCATATGCTGCCTCTTGAAATGGTTGGATGCTGACTGGTTCTTTTTGGTATAGTGACGCTGTGTATTCTTTCCATCTTTTTAAAAAATAGTTCTTGTATCATTCAATATTTTGCCCACAGGATCTTCCAATATTGCAATTCGAGCCTTGACTTTTTTTCAGTTCTTTCGGTTTCAGATATGCTGGATGTGTCCTCCCCTTTGGGCATTCTAACTCTAGGTCGCTGCATATTTTATTTTGTCTTCTTGAGCTGCTCTTTGGAATTTTCTGTTCAGCACTCCGACTTCATCATTTCCCTAGGTGCCTTAGCTACTCTACAATCAAAGGTCACATTTCACAATCTCTTCTGACATACACTTTGATCTTGGCTATAGGAATATATGGGACACTTTCACTGATAATCCCCAAAAGACTAGTCTAAACACAGATAGCTTCCCAAAGCAAAATCAAGAGTACTGTTAACAGGAGGAAGGCTGGGTACCAGAGGATTTCTTTCCTGTCTTTTTAATGACCTTTAGCTTTCTTCACGAATGCTGTTCTTGATATCATCCAGAGCTATCAGCTGTTCCATCATTTGTGTTCAAGCAGCAAATCTGTTCTTGAGATGTTCTTGAAATTCAGGTGGGATATACTCAAGGCCATCTTTTGGCTCTCATGGGCTTGTTTTAATTTTCTGTAGCTTCATTCTGAACCACATATGTGCAATTGGTGGTCTGTTCCACAGTCAACCTCTAACCTTGTTTTAGCTGCTGATATTGAGCATTTCCATCATATCTTCCCATATCTGTAGTCAATTTGATTTTTGTGTACTCCATCTGGAGAGTCCACGTGTTTAGTTGCCATTTGTGTTGCTTGGGGGGAAAAAAGTGCTTTGAAGAAGTTGTTAGAAACTTTAGAAGACCTGGAACAGGCTACACTTCTCTGAAAGTGGCCCTTGAAGCCTGCGTGTTTAAGAAGGATAGAGGAATAGAAAGACAAGTTCCTAACAGTTTACTAGAACCAAGGCTAAGAGGTAGCTCTGAAACGGTACCTGCGTTCTAAAGATGAGTTTACTTTGGCTCCTCAATCCTCCCATAGTCATCATTACATCAATGACATCAACGTGATGCAATGCCTCCGATTTTAAAGAGGGTTTGGGTTGCTATAGCAGGGCCTTACAAGGGATGGGAACCAACTTTAGGCATGATAACTAGTCTAAATAGTCTCAGTCATTCCTTTTTCTGTGTCCTTACTCCCTTTCAACATGCCTTTGCAGTCTCTTTCCCTAGTTTTCCACTTCCTCCATAAGAGCTAGACTTCTTCCTTGGTTTTACAAGTGAAATACAAGAGCTGCCATGTTGTTTCAGTACTGAGTTGAGACTTCCAAAGGTCTTGCACACTTCAACTTACCCCCTAGGAACCACTATGTGCACAAGCACAGGCTAGCCTCTTGAATGACAAAAGACATATGGTCCAGGGCACAGGCTGTCCCCATTAACCTGTATTGTTACAGGTGGTAACCATCCAATCCCTAGACATAGGGCTGGCCAGCTGTCTGAAAGATGACTACAGGTGATGGAAAGCCCAACAAAACTACCCAACTCTAGTGCACACAGTACCTGACAGAATTGTGAAGGAAGTAATGAAATTTTGAGCTAGGTCGGTACCCAGTACTTGGTAATTGATACCATATTTAGAAATACAAGGACTTAGACATTATTAGAAGAAGAGAGAGGTAATTAACAGACATTGGAAAAGAGGGTCTAGATTCTGATGAGTTAAAGCAGGTCTGAGTAGCATGAACTGAAGGCGTTGTGTTCTGTGCTCTAAGCCTGGTGTCAGTCCATGCAAATAGGGACTCCACAAAGAGACTAATTCATGAACCAGCATAGATCTCTTGCCTACTACTTGGCTAGAGGAATGTAAGGGACACATTCACTGATATTCTCAAAAAGATTATACTAAAAGCAGACCGTTTCCAAATTCAAAAGCAAGGTTAAGAGGAGGAGAGGGGCTGGATACCAGAAAGCTAAACCAGCCGGTGTCTGCCACAACTGGTTTCGGTAAACTGTGTTTCAACCCAGCTTTCCTTTACTTTTGGGAATTCACTATTGTGTCTTTATGTGTCCTTAAAATGGCAGTAATGGTCCATCTGCTCCTCTGCTTCGGGGT